TTTTTTGGTTATTTCGGTTAAAGAGTTATTTGTTGAGGACTTACTGTTTACACACAATAATATTAGACATTACAGGTAATATAATGATGAATTATTATTCTTTTAAGCTAATGGGGCAGGGGTCAATAAGAGAAGTTTACAAATAACTATAAACAAAGAAGAGTATGATAATATCTATAAGAGAGATACAATAAAGTTCTATGAGGTTTTCCTAAGAGGGTGTTACATGTTGCAAAGACCAGGAAAGACTTTATGGAGGAGATGTCTTTTCATATGGATAAAGCAGGATAGATATGGTTCCAACAGGTAAATTTGAATAGTGAAAGGATATACTAAAGGAAATTGAATAAGGCAAAAGCATGTCTGGTTCCAAAGATATCAGAGGCCAGGTGCAGTGAGCTGGGTGGATCACTTGAGCCCAGGAGTTTGAGACTAGCCTGGGCAACATGACAAAACCCCATTTCTACTAAAAATACAGAAAATCAGCTAGGCATGGTGGTGCACACCTGTAGTACCAGCTACCTGGGAGGCTGAGGTGGGAGAATCACTGAGCCTGGGAAGTCGAGGCTGCAGTAAACTGTGATCACGCCACTGCACTCCAGCCTGGGCAACAGAGGGAGATTCTGTCTCAAAAGAATTAAAAAAAAAAAAAAAAAAAAAGACATCGTTATCACATATGGTGAAGTTAAGATAAAACATTAAAGTATATAGGATTTAATTAAATAACTATTTTGTGGCTTGTGACCTTATTTGTGCTTGTATATATGAATGTGGTGGTTTGTTTTGTGTTGTTTAATTTTAAAAGCTCTTTGGAATTTTGGATGTGCTCTTCAGTCTCCTACGTACCAGCCCAACTAGAGGTCAGCTTTTCTTACTGCTCTTTGAACCAGGAAATGCTGACATACTGTATGCATTGCTCTTAAATCAGAAGTACTCTGACAGACTAAGAGAGATCATTTTTAAGGTACAAACATTTCTTAAACATCTTTGTATTTTGGGGCATTTGTGGGTATATGAATTTTCTTGCAATATATCCATTCTGTGACTATAAATTATTTTTATATCTATTTCTCTAAGATATTCAACTTATTTTTATATATAGTTTTCATGTTTCAGTAGTTTGCATGTTAGAAAACTAATTGTATTATAATCTGAAAATCATCTCAGTGGAATATTCACTTTGTCATACCATCCTCAATATAAAACCTCTCATCTTCTTGACTTGGTGGGTCTATGTGGCAATTCAGAACATTTCAACAGCTAATAATAATAGCAAACTTTATGTAGCAACCACTGTATGTCAGGCACTAAGTACTTTTCATATATTGGCTTACTTAATGTTGCAATAACTTTATGAAGTGGGTATTATTACTATTATCATTTTACAGATGAAGAAACTAAGTCCAGAGAGATCAGTAACTTACAAAATATATAGATGAGTTGCTTCACAAATGTTTACTTATCCTTGAAAATTATTTTAATTTTAATAACTGTTACTTAAGTGGATTATTAGATTGATCCAGAGGTGTATTGACACATATTTATTCTTGCAAACTACATGGTTTGTTTCCATCTAAGCCTTTCTCATTAAGAAACAAAATTTTAAATTATTTCTCTTTAATTTGCCATGTAATTAAACTAGAGTCTTAAGCATACCGATTATTCAAATACAGATGCATTTCAGTCCAGTTTATTTTTTTAAATTTGCTTATTTTTTTGAGATGGAGTCTCGCTCTGTCGCCTAGGCTGGAGTGCAGTGGTATAATCTTGGCTCACTGCAACCTCCAGCTTCCAGGTACAAGCAATTCTCCTGCCTCAGTCTCCCAAGTAGCTGGGATTACAGGCACGCATCACCACACCTGGCTAATTTTTGTATTTTTAGTAGAGATGGGGTTTCACTGCAGGCCAGGCTGGTCTCGAACTCCTGACCTCAGGTGATCCACCTGCCTAGGCCTCCCAAAGTGCTGGGATTACAGGCATGAGCCACTGTACCTGGCCCAGTTTGTTCTTAAATCCATTTTTACATTATGGTGTAATACGGAGTGCTCCTCCCTATTAAATTCATTTATGCCTAGTGTTCCATTATTGGAACACTAAGTATGTGGGAGTTATTTATATCCCACTTCTGAAGGTCATCATGAAGGTCTGATTTTTCACACGTCTGCAATTCAAAAAATTGCACCCTCCGGCATAAATGGGTTAATGCTGGGATTTTTATACTTAAGGAATAAAATGATGCTCCAAAAACAAAGTATAGCAATATTTTATTCTATAAGTTAATAGCATTATTTTATTCTGTAAGTTAATATTGCTATACGTTAATAGCAATACTTATTAACATTAAATATTAATACTAATAAATACTAACATTAATATTTAATGTTAATAAGTTAACATTGTTAATGTTAACTTAAATGACAAATTATTCTTAGTTTTCTATATTGAAAATATATTACTTGTTGTGACCAGATTATGGAACAAATGTTGAAATGCACGAATGTTTATGAGCGTAGTAAACAACATATTCGACTCAGAGAAGTTGGCTACTCAGGACTGGGACTCCTTCTTAATGAAGCACTTATTAATACTTCTCTTATTAAAAACCTCACCCATCAAATCATAAATACAGGTATGAATAAGGCTGATAAAGCTAACATATTTAAGAAATATTTTTTCCTGTAAGTTTTTTTCATACCTTTCTCAGGCTACTTTTAAAATTATCTGTTATTTGATTCAGCAGGGCCTTCCTTGGATACCATGTCTTATGTAGTTTTATTGTTTTTGTCTCCCCAGGGCATAGCACAGTTCCTTACCCAGTAAATATTTATTGACTGAGTGATTAAGTTAGTGAGTGAGTCCACGGAACAAGAAAAGGACAGTACAGAAAATATGTACAAATGATTGTTTTTTCTTTAAGGAGCTTTGTTGTTTGTTTTGTTTGTTCTGTTTTGGTTTTTTGATTTTTCTTTTTAGAAACAGAGTCTTGATGTATTGACCAGGTTGGTGTGCAGTGGCTAGTCACAGGTGTGATCATAGCTCACTGTAGCCTCATACTGGATGCAACTGATCCTCCCACCTCAGCCTTCCAAGGAGCTGGGACTACAGGCATGTGCCACCATGCCCTGCTTCTAATTTTTTTAAATAATTTTTTTCAGTAGTTGATGACAGACAGTAGAATTTATGTCACGTGCTGGGAATTTGGGAATATGAGGTTCTTTGTCTTGATTAGTTTACAATCTTGTTGATAAGACATGTATATAAAAAGATTAATAATAATATAAGAGCCATGCAGTATGGACCATATGTTCAAGCAATCAAAAAAAAAGGAACAATTATTTAGGGTTGACTCAGGAGGATGTCAAACATTCTAAACCTATTTTTTTCTTCAAAATTTGAACATACCTATAATTCATATTTTAAAATGAATTAATTATTTCAGCATTTTATACAAGTATTATCTACAGTTCTTTCTTTGGTTATCTCTCATATTTAATTTTAACTTTTTGTTTTTCCTACCATAGATCCTGTTATTAATTTTAAAGATCTACTATCTGTGGTATATATATCTCACAAAGCACATATAAATGTTAGAGTGGCCATCTGCAGAAAGGTCAGTAAACTCTTAAGATATATTTTAACGATAGCAGCATCATGATCACGCTATAAATAACTTTGCATTGAGTATTTTGCAGCAGATACAAGTTTTCATTTATTTTATAAATGACATAATTTTATAAGTAAACA